GGTGTATATCCTAGAGTGAGTCATTTGCTTTTTTCTAAACTGTGATGTCCTTGGGGACAACTGGAAATAATAATAACACTCCTGGAACTGAGCAGTCTTGAGCGCTTGGTGTAGAGGAGAACCTTTGGGCTCTGCACGTCTGGGTATAAATCCCAGTCTTGCCTTTTTTGCTGGGTGAACCTTGTACAGGTATCTGACATCTCTGGGGGTATTTCTTTATAAGATGGAGAAATAACCAAAAATGGAACCATAGTAATTGGCCTATATTTGATCTTTTGATCTAGAGAAGGGGAACTTCATATAGTCCAATTTAAGACCTATCTTGCAGGGTTTATTGTGAATTTAAAATAATATCTGAAAAGCACCTAGTATACTAACATGCACACAGTAGGTACCCAGTGTACCACTCTGGTGGTTATGACCATTATTAGTGTGATACCATCTCAAGGTGATCAGACCATAAAAAGTATAAAACCCTACTGAGATTTTCAGTAAGTAACTCAGTGCCAAAGACCCTGTTTACCTGCCTGACCACCTACTGAGATCAAAACAAAGCCACAATCACCGGACATCGGGATGCTGAGAGAATGTACCAGGCTTGGTTTGATCCTGGGCTCCCTGCAGAACACAATTTTTTTTTGTTTGCATTTCCAAATGTCATATTGAAACCATTGTGAATACAAGAATAAGAGATGATTTCAGCTTCCATCTTTAGGAATGCTCACGTTTAAAAAATAAAAGAAGGCCCAGCAAAATTAACTTTATCATTTTAAGAAGCCACCATTGAAACAGCCGCTGCGAATATATTCATTATTATACAACGCCAAGCGCTGTGCACCAGTGCGCGCGGCATCTGTCTGCTCACTAATTCTCCCGTTATTATTACCCTCTGAAAGGGCAGGCGGGAGAGAATTCCAGGCAATCTCTCTCAGCAGAGGCTTGCAGGTTTCGTGGAGCGCTCAAAACTCCCCCAAACGTGCTCCTTGAGCATTTGACTTGCTAATCTTGTTGATGTGACAGAAAAAAAAATCGAAAATAGCTAATGGCCTTAATTTTCTTATACCTGACAGCTAACCAATCCATCCCATCCTAAACAGTTACTCATCTGATTCACCCCCATCCCCTCTCTCTCTCTCTCTCTCTTCCTCTCTCTCTCTCTCTCTTGCTCTTGCTCTCTCTCTCTCTCTCTCTCTCTCTCTCTCTCTCTCTCTCTCTCTCTCGCACACACACACCTCTTTTCCAAACCTGTCAGTCACAGTCCTGTGTGTGTCTGTGTGTGTGGTGTGTGTGATGGGCTTAAATTTTATTTGACGCTCAGGAAGGTCACAAATCACAGTTGCTCGATAGTAAGCAGGGAGGGACACTCAGAAGGGCCTCAACAGAGCCCTGTGGCAACGGGTGGTGCACATCAAGGTGACTACTGGGAAGAAGCTGGAGACACTGCACAGTCAGGCCTGGGAGGCAGGTCTGCTGAGTGTTCCAAGGGCAGGGCCCGGTGGTGACTGCTTCCCTGCAGACGCTCGCTGTCCAGGAGAATGAACAGGCTGGGCAAGGCAGGAGGCCTGGGCAGGGCTTGAGGGCCTGGATTCAATGGGTGCATCCAGAGAGGAATCTGGTGAAAGGGCATTTGCAATTTGTTGTTTCTCTTTCCTCTCCCACTCTGGTTTTCGTGGCTGGTGTGAACCCTTCCGCCTGCATCTGGGGCTGCTTTTGAGAACATGAATAAGAGAGAAGCGGCTGTAGCTACACCAGATTAACTACCCTTTGTGTGTGCCCATGTGCATGCCTTTGTGTGCATGTGTGAGAGGTTGTGAGCTTGCATGCGTGTGCGTGTGTGTGTTAGGGATGGGATGGTTCTGCATTTTAAAGGGATGGATTAATGGCTAAATGGCTGTTCTATGCTTTAAAGGGCCAGCTGTTCAGCGGTTTGTATTACAAGATTTATCTCTTGGAATGTTTTTTTTTTTAAATCACACCCCCTTGCCCCCCATCCCCAGCTGTAGGCTTGTTATGGGAGAAGAGAAACATTGTCTGTGTAAAGAAAAAGCATCCGAGAGTCCAAGTAAGAACTTTCCTGTTCAGTAAATGCTGGGCGATGCCTCCCTCCATGGTGTCTCTAGATTTCTTCAAGTTCCCGGATTACCTGCTTAGCATGGACTCACCTCAGAAACATTCAACTCCTCTGCATACTCCGGCGAAACAGGGATTCTTTCCCTGTTATTATTTATCTGATCCTCACCCTTCCTTGTGCCGATTTACCTCAGGCTTGAAACAGACCGTGACTTTTGCTTCAGACCTTCCCCGTGACCCCCACTTACCCGTCCCCAATTCTGTCCCTCTTAGGTGCAGCACTTTCTGCTTTTACCTCTTCACAGGCCTGAGTGCTTTTTGCCTCCTCTGAGGGTGCCCATGTCTGCCGTTGAGCTGCAAGAGGAAATCCTTTCCTCCAAAAAGTCTCGCTTCCGCCTCTACTGAGCACCAAAGACTCAGAGCAAGGGCTCCTCTGGGCTGCAAGGCCGGTGCCAGTCTCTCTGGCCTTGTGCGTCCCTTCCTGTCTTCTGGAGGCGGGCTCCTCATCCTCATTTCTTGCCCCCTGTACCTACAGCCTAACTCCAGCAGCAGAGTTAGGTATCCAAGGTCTCCCCATGATCCATGACAGCAGACTGAGGGCAACTTCAAAACAACTGGGACACATCAAACCAAGGCCAAACATTAACTGCCTCTGGCAACTTCTCTTAGGCCTCACTCTCAGGCCCTAGAAAGACTAAAGGTTCAGGTCACAAAATCCAAACTCCCAGACCCACAAATCATCGACTCAGGCCTGAAGGAGACACCCATTGCAGCCAACGTCTTCCTGGACACACAGTCATCTGGGCAGCCGTCCCCTCCCCACCTCAGGGCCCTTTCACGTCCACTCTCCTCTGACGGGCCCGTGAGTGGTGGTCAAATAAATGGTCCAGAAGGTTCTAAGGGACACCTAGGTCTTGCTTGGAATTGTGAGTTACTAGCAGCTAGCCCTAGGCTCCAGACCCAAGGGAGAGGACATAGGGTCCCAGGACCATCCGTGCATGTCCCAGAGAGGATGTGTCTTCCCAGAAGAAGGTACCTAGAACGTGCTCTTTTCAAGTGTGTGTTTTTCTCTTTTCCATGAAAACGGATATGCAAACATGTTCCTTAATGCTACAGACACATTGTGAAGGGGTCTGCAACTTTGCAAAATATTCGCTAGAAGATTCTTTAGATTGTGAGCTACCCCACCTCACCCATGAAAGGGAGCTTCAGGCTGCTTCCTAGTACTGCCACTGACGAGTTGTGTGACCTCATGCAAGTTACTTCTGTGTCTCCGTTTCTGCACCTGTTCAACGGGAGCAATAATCACAGTGACCTCAGAAAGCTGATTTAAGGATTAAATGAGATCATCAAGGCAGAGCATTCAGCACAATGTCTGGCACAGAGTGGGCATTCAAAAAGACCAGCTGTTACTCAAAATGTGATTTTCTAAAGTGAACTACTCTCGATCTACACTCAGTCGGGGGGTGGAGCTATGTCAGGCAGGCTGATTGTCGCTGATACTGAGTAAATGGTTCATTTCAACATTTTCTCATGGTGAACATCTACCGCTAAACCTCCTTTTGACTTTGATTATTACTAGCAACCATAGCAGCAGGCAAAGTACTAGTCCCTTAACTGTTGTCTATTCATGGGGAAAGAAAATAGAGGAATTAGATTGGAAATCTGTTGTTTTTATTTAGCTTCCATTTTCTGGTTTCTCACTGGCTTC